AATTCCTGCAATACATTGTTAACATTTTAAGATGTAAATACCAGAATATCTCAACATTAACAGTATTCCTACTTTTAGATCCCGCTATTCTAAATTTGATATGATTGCGGTCAATATTGGGGTTATTCATAGTGAAGAAAAACCATTAAATTATTTAACCTATCGTGAGATATTTTATAACTAATTATTTTACGGCTTACTCACGTCATACTTTTTTTCGGTGATGGCACCGAAAAAAAGCCATGATACATTGTCTTAATTAAATCAATGAAAAAGGAAATACTACCTGTAATATTCTCTGTATCTGTGGCATGTTGAGCTGGCGGTTCATGGTGGCCATAGCGCGCGTGACGCCGCGCATAGCCTGCGCCATTGTGCTCTGTGACTTGAGGGTCTGGATCTTGAGCGCCACTGCCTGGATGTTTGCCTTCATTAGCATGAACTTACGCACGTAGCGCCGCGTGCGCACCAGATCCTTCGCCATTATTTTCACTGCATCCTACAACATACATCATACAAATGTAAATAAACCAACAGTTTACACCATTACATTACATACTTATTTCATGATATCAAAAAAGCCTAACATGTACTTTTCTATGACTTTTAAAAAACCTATTTCGACAAAGTAAAAAATTTGATGAACAATCTTAATATCAGTTAACACACATTTAACAAGTTACTGAATAATTCATGAAGCTACCATTTGTCCATCCTTAGCCAACTTCTTGATATCAGCGATAACTTTCTTCTCCTGCTGCTCCATTTTGAGCCTCTCTCGGTCGAGGTCACGCATGGCCTTGTTGAGTGCGCGTTGGTTCTTACGGAGCATCTCCTCGGGAGTCATGCGGTGACCAAATAACCACTCCATTGTGACAAAAACTCTAAACTCCTGAAACATTTAATTAGTCCTTTCTTCAAATATGCCACTTTAAAATATTGAGCTCCACGATATATATTTAAATAGAGCCAATATAGGCAGATGTCTTCAACGAAATTGTATACTTTCATAGTGTGACCAAATACAGACTATGTGAATTTTATTTCAATATACAACAAAACTATTTATTTCTTTATGAAGGCTATAAGTTAAGTATAAACATTTAAAAAACACAAACAATGATAAGAAACAAATGTTTAATATTGTAAACACATAATAAACATATTTTAATGGTCTAGCTAAGATGTAGTACACATCGTCACATGAAATTTTACTAGAGCTAACAAATTTTGTATATTGTTTTGATAACTTACCTTTACGTAAAGTGTATTAAAGCTGCAAACTAAAGAATTTATAAATGATGATTCACCAATTCCTATATGAATTCAATACATTCATCTACAACTGACTTACTTTAACGACACTACAGTTTGCTAATCTATTGTTTAATGTTGTACACTATAGTAAAAACTGTAAAAAAGTTATTAACCACATCACTATTTAAGTTACACCCAATTGCTTAAAAACTTATACAAAATAGTATCGTCGTCACTCGTCACCATTTACAAATTGAACCGTCAATGTCAAAACAAAACTGTCAGATGTTTCCTGACATTGACATTAAAAACCCTGCAATAGATTGTAACATTTGTAAATCAAGACTGCAACGGAAAAAACGCAAATATTGCTATTGATTGAACTACTTTGTACAACTAATTACAAAGTTCTTTGAGTTGTAAATGCTTATGATTATTAAAATATGGAAATACTAGCATAAAATTAGTTTTAAAAGTTATTTTAATAAATCAAGAAGACACATACGAACTCTTTGTAAAAAGCCAACAGCCAATGTCAAATTGACATTTTCATCGTCGTTTACCGTCGATTTCCAAATCAAACAATTCTTTGCGCGCGTTTTGTTTATTACTTAAACTATTAAATTAACTTTATTTAAAATGAATGACGACGATGTGATATTAATGGAAGTAGACGAAACAGAACCAAAAGTCGAAAAAGCGGTTGTGGGGCCGAGTAAACCACTTGGATTGCTACCATGGATAGAAAAGTACAGGCCGCAAACTTTTGAAGACATTGTCGGCAACGAGGACACTGTGTCGCGATTGGCGGTGTTCGCGCGCACGGGCAACGCGCCTAACATCATAATCGCAGGTCCTCCAGGTGTCGGCAAGACGACAACGATCTTATGCCTAGCTCGAGCTCTGCTCGGTGCAGCATTCCGCGACGCTGTGCTCGAGCTGAACGCGTCCAACGACCGCGGCATTGACGTCGTACGCAATAAAATTAAAATGTTCGCACAACAAAAGGTATATATACCGGTTTTAAATGAATCTTTGAATTAAATATGATTATTGTTATTGCATTGTTTGTTTGCAACAGGTGACGCTGCCTGCCGGGCGGCACAAGATAGTGATCCTGGACGAGGCGGACAGCATGACGGAAGGGGCGCAGCAGGCGCTGCGGCGCACCATGGAACTGTACGCCAACACGACGCGGTTTGCGCTCGCTGCCAACAACAGCGAGCGCATCATCGAGCCCATACAGTCTCGCTGCGCCGTGCTGCGCTACTCGCGGCTCACCGACGCACAGATACTCGCCAAGGTAGCTGTTTATAGCTGTAACAACCAAAAAATAACCAAAGGACAGTTGCAGGCTGTTTGACCACATTGTTATTCTGTGAAACTTATAGACTACCTGGGCACAGTGAAAGGGTTATTTTTTTAATTGCAGGTAATAGAAGTGTGCAGGAAGGAAGATTTATCATACACAGAGGAGGGTGTGAATGCAGTAGTGTTCACAGCGCAGGGTGATTTGCGTTCGGCACTCAACAACCTGCAGGCGACAGCGCAGGCCGGCCGCCACGTTAGCCCCGATAACGTTTTCCGTGTGTGTGATGAGCCGCACCCCATGCTGGTGCGCACCATGCTGGAGGCCTGGCTTACAAGGTGCTGCACTATCATCACTGTTATATTACTATTTGCAGCTTAACAATTAATCTCCCTTTGATTGTGTATCGCAGGTGATAGCGAAGCTCATAAAGCAGGGATATGCTGCAGAGGACATAGTGAGCAACATATTCCGCGTGTGCAAGACGCTGGCAGTGGGGGAGGAGCTGCGGCTGGGGCTAGT